AGTTGTTACCAGAACATGAACAAAGGGGAGAATCTTTGAATGCATACGCTTGTTGTGTGACAGCCATTTAAGAATGGATTTCCCTTATTTTGGAGAGCTTTCCCCTTACTTCCCATAGTGTCTGCTGGACATAAAGTGAAGGTATCCCCCCCCCCCCCAATGAGAAACAGACAGCAAAAGTTTTACATTTTGTATTTGTTTTCTGTCATATACAGTATATCAGGAGTGGGAACAACTCATTTTCTTAGGGAGATCTCAATTCTGACGTTCCAAGAGATCTAGGAAGCTAGTGCGTAAAAGTCCATCAGACACGACTTAAAACTCACTCAGTCTTGAATCAGCTGAAGCTTAGATCAGGCTTAATGAATGCATAAGACTAAGAAGTATTTCTATAAAATTGGTGAAGTAAAGGTACCAGCAAATGTTGCCATCCACTAGCTTTCTAGCTAAAGTCTTTCTCAACAATGTTTTTTTTGGAACCCCGGGGCTCCTGCAGTAGTTGCTAAGGGTTCCTTGAGCAGTGAGCAGTACAACAAGGCATACCTTCTACTTACCTTACATCTCTCCCACTAACCACCAACATAAGGGGGGCACCTATCCTACTGAACCACTGTTGTAAAGGGATTTTGTTTTCCGGATTTCCGATGTAAAAGCACACTTTTATATTAACCGCCAATGTAAAAGGCCATTTTTCCATGACCACCAATGTAAAGGGGCATTTTATTGACTACTAATGCAAGAGGGCATTTTTCTACTGACCACTGCTGTAAAGGGGGCACTTGCAACTTTCACTGTCTGTCTATTTTTTCAATGTGATGATTATTCCGGTACATTTTTGTGTCGTGCTAAAAAATTATCCACTCTGGGTGTCAATGTGCTACTATATGAACTGTAGATATAATCATTTGTAGCAGGGGTTCCCTTAGACCCATAGATTATTTTAAGGATTCCACCAAGATATAAAGGTTGGCAAGGTTGATTTAGGGTTTTAACTGTTGATATCCTTAGGCAGTTGCGCATTTTTGTAATGAGGGAGTGGTCTGGCAAATCAAGGATGCTGCATAGCAATGAGGTGCCATGCTGTGTAGTAAGGGGAATCTGACTAAAGGAAAAAACAGCCTATTCATCTTTCTATAAAATTAATCCAGCATGAAACTTTGCCTTTGTGAAGGAGCTTCCTGTAATAAAGACCAGCCCCCTCTGCTCTCTCTCCTTGTGCAGACTCATTGGTCTAGTCTCTGCCCCCTCTTGTGGTTTTCTGCAGGTATCCTGTAGTAGGTGTGGCCTACTAGGTCCCTCCCACATCTCTGCTCTCTGCACAAGCTATATGTAGCACAGTGATGATGTCACTGCTATTTTTACAAGATAATAATTGTGTTTGCAAAGGCATTTGGTGTACACAAAGTCGCTTCATATCATTTGTGGCAATTAAGGAATATATTTAAATCAAGGTTATGGTGCTCGGAATTCAACTTTAATAGCAGGAAAAATACAGCTTAAAAAAATGATGTATTCAAATCAAACAATGTCTTGAAAAACTGTGTGAAAAAAGCCAAACAAGCTATATGTATACCTTTAGGAAAAGCAGATGCAGTGAGGTGCTACACATGTGATATCTGCATTCATTCATTTCAACCTGAGACAGACCCAATGGCTGAACATGTGAAACACAGCTCTGAGTAAGTATAACACATTATGAAAGCACCTAAACCATTCATTAAAAAATTCCAGCTGTATACTGTTCAATTTTTTGTTTCAGGCCTGTCAGCAAGTCCCTGTCATGGCTGATACCTGCTGACCGCCTGTGTAGAATCATAGCCCACAGCTCTGTGTTGGTAAACAACACAGTGCTTTGCACTGAGGGAGTGATCTGTCAGTTTCTCATCCCTGCAAAACATTGTTGAGAAACTATGTTAGAGATCTAGCAGTAAAAGCAGCACACTTTACAAATATTACACATAGTTAGGCACACATTTATCCCGATTGCCCCTAGATGTTAACCCCTTGCCAGTGTCATTAGTACAGTGACAGTGTATAGTATAATCACTGATCACTGTATTATTGTCACTGGTGATGTCAGTGGCAGTTAGTGTCAAATTGCCCACCGCACTCCCGCAATCCCATTATAAGTTGCTGATCACCACCATTAGTGGTATAAAAAAAAATTCCAGTGTACATACCATATTTTGAAGACACTATAACTTTCACTAACTTTCACGCAAACCAATCAATATACACTTAATTGGATTTTTTTTTATCAAAGACATACAACAGGGTACAGTATGACCAAAATGTATGAATAATTTGATATAAATGTATGTAAATAAAAAAATATTAATAAACTTGTATAAAATAATCAATACAGAAAGAGCCCAGAGTTGATATATACCAGTGCAAAACTAAACATGGATGTCAAGAATGTCAGGGAAGGATGTAAATAGATGAGTGAAACATCAAATATAGACACGGCATAAATAATGGAACAAATAATGGCACAAATAGTGCCACAAAGATGTGAATGAGCACAAATATCACAAGTGCACTACCATATCTGAAACCAACACAAATAGACACGTCCTCAGCTCAAGACATTTACCATAGTGATAAAAGTGAACTGTACATATGAAACAGGAAAAAGTAATGTGAGTAGATGTTAAAAATATATATAAATTATATTAAAAAATGGTATAACAATAATCAATAAGTGAAAAGCACAAAGGTGATATATACCAGTGAGGGACTAAAGATGAATGACATAAATGTCACAAAAGGGTAAGAATAAATAGTGGATGACAGATAAACACAAAAAACAAACCCGTCATAAAAAATGGCATAAATATTGCCACAAATAAACACAAAGGATGGTGTAATAGTCCACGATACACTAATACATATAAAGGCCAATATTTAGATTCCCAAATAAACTTGATGGGTGATAGTGAAAGTGAACAACTTGAGAAGAGATCCACCTCCGGCTAAATTGCCTCCTCACCTTCACGTTGCAACCCCTAGGGGCCAACACACTTCCAAGGCGCTCAACGCCAAACAGATCAGCATCCCATGGGGGCCTTACGCACTAATCCAGGAGCGTCAACCAGCAACAATAGTAGTGGTATCCCCCTCATGGAAAAAATGCACCACACAGCAACTCAAACGATCCCAAAAGAGGAGAAAAGGAACACTTCCATAGTATAGTAATCAGTATAATTTATTGAGCAGCATGTTGCCAAATGCCCACTTACATCAAATACAGGATAAATAGCTCAGAACAGCATGTAACAGTCTGGGTGTACTTGCATGGGTGTAGTAAGATGACGGCTGCCATCCATGCTGCAATTGATGTCACCACGCTTCCATCCTACGCGTTGCATCACGAGTCACGTGACTTCCTAAGGGTAAGATATCTGTCAGTTATTTGTCTTGGATTTTTCCCCTGTGCAGCTATTAGCAGGTCCCTAAATACACCATATAAAATGAAAGGATACTTACTTTGCCAGGATCAGGCTTCCTGTTGTCAACCCATGACCTGCTCTTGTTTTAAAAGACTTCCTACTATCCACCACTTAACCACTATGTCTACTTAATTTCTTTCTTCATGTACCACATCTACAACATACCAACCTTAACAATATCATAACACTTCTTTTCATCATGCCTTCCAATCATTCTGTCTGCTTCGTCTTATATCCAATCTGTCCACTACATTCAACCTACAATGCCCACATAACCAACATTACGTTGTATATTCTTGTGCACACTCTGCATATGTCTCCCTGTGCTTCTCGGCTCAACAACTTTCCATGTCCTGTACACGGGGCTTTTTTTTTTTTCTCAGAGAATAGGTGCAGGAACTCTCCCTTCTGATTCACCTTTGTCTCCGCCTCCTACCCACCTCCGGGCACCATCCCTTGGTTCCACCCTTTACCCACCTCCCAGTACTGCCCCTTTTAGAGAATACAGAACCAAGTATAATTTTATGGTGCTAAGTAATTTGTATAAAATGTGTTAATGATAACAAGAAAAGCAGTAAAATAGATCCCCTGCAGCCAGCAACAATAGACCCCCAGCAACAACAGATCCAGCCCAGCAACAATAGACCCCTCCCAGCTACCAGCATCAATAGACCCCCCAGTAATAATAGACTCCTCCCTCAACAGTAGATCTCTCCTAGCAACAAATGACTCCCTAGAAACATAATACCCCCCTAGCAACAATAAATCCCCCACCAGCAACAATAGACCATCCCCATGCAAAAATAGATCCCCTCCAGAAATAATACATCTCCTAGCAGCCAGCATCAATAGACCCTCCAGAAAACCCTAGCACCCCTTGCAATGATATACATTCAGTGCTGGAGGTGCCAGAACTGCGTTCCCCCACGGTCCCGCTGAAAAACGCCCTGCCTGTACATAACATAAGTGGATATGATTTATGGATTACCTTTCTGTAAACGGCTACAATGATCACTGCTAACTTCTGAGTCCTGTGCCAAGTGGCTGCCCTGCTGCTTAGTGAACACAGGAGGTTATTGACTGAGCATTTTTTAAATTAACGCAAAGCAATCTCTGATTGGATAGGGTGGGTAAGTGGAATGGTGCTGTCACAATCTGACTGTACAGTGAAAGGAGAAGCAGCACAGTAACGAGTTCATGTCTCTGTCATTCTGCTTTGTCCTATCAGTATTGGCAGCATGTCGATTGATTGGCTTATTTTTTTCTTCTTTTTTTCCCACTCTGAGCTCTGCTGTATAGCGACTGTCAGGGCTGATAACAGGTCAAATTCAGGTACTTACACTCATTGCATTTAAACATTACATTTTTTAAAACTAAAGATTATTGAGCGGCTTTAAATTGTGTGTTTTATACGTGTTCCGCTGTAAGGTAAATTTGTAAACCAGTAATATGTTCTGATGAAGTGAGTTTTTTTAATCTTTCTAAATATCTCATTAGTGGTTAATTTTTTTTTTAAGTTGCAAATTTTTTAAGAGATCCTTGGACTTAAAATGTGAAAATACAGAGAATAGCAGTCATACAGAGAGTCAACAGTTTCAGCTAATACATCAGGTAAATTGTATTATCTTTTTTATTATTTTACATTATTTTACATTTTTATTTACATTAACAATTATATTAAAATAAACATTTTAAAGCTGTAGTAAACTGTAGTAAGAAAAAAGGTTTCCTCTCCATGACAAAGGCATAATATGTTAGTATACATCGAGAGAGAGAAAGAAAGAGAGACATAAAGAGAAAAAGAAAGGAGAGAATGAAAAGAGAAAGAAGAGAAACAGGAGACAGAGAGAGAAAGAAAGGAGAGAAAGAAAGAAGGGGGGAGAGAAGACACAAGGCTGGCTGGAAGTTTGGATGGGACAGACACAGGAGGAGGGGCAGCTTTCTCTCTCCTCTCCCATCTATGGTGGTGGTGGTGGGGGACTGTCAGCACTGGGAACAGAATATGCTGACAGATCTCCCACAGTGGGATGAGGAGCATACAGAAGCCCAGGGCATGCAGTCTGCAGGAGATGGATAGCAGAGGTGGCCAGGCAGAACATAGAGGAACTGAGAAAGCCACCTCTCCTATCCAGGCAGCCCCAGCCCACCAGGCAAATTCCCGTTGTGCCCTATGGCCACTCCGAGCCTGCTGGTGGGCACTGATTGGCAGCATTGATGGACACTGAAAGGGATCACTAGTGGGCACTGAAGGGCAGCACTTATGGATACTGAAAGGTAGCAATTATGAGCACTGATGGGGCTGCACTGATCATCAGGGAACTGATTATCAGTTTAGATGTCTCCTCTGAAGTTTGCTGCTTATCAGCTCTCCTCTCCTCACACGCTGTCAGCGTGAGGAGAGGACTACTGATAACTGGCATTTCCTATTTACATGTGATAAACTGTGATTGGACACAGCTGATCACATGGTAAAGAGCCTACATCATCAGCTGTTTACCGCGATTAGTGATCCACTTTGTCCTAGAGACACAGCGCACCAGCGATCGTAGCACCATGTGCCCCCGGGGGCACAGAACAAGAGAGCTCCCGCCCATCCTTCATCTGTCAATACGGCAGGCGGGAGGCAGATAAGGCATGTAAGCTGCAATATATTACATTTTAATTGTTGGCTTTAGGTATACTTTAAATTTAAAGTGGGACTATACCCACCTAAGCTCCAGCGATGCTCCATCCCGGAGCTCCCCACCCAGCCGCTGACATCTTCAAGTGGCCGGCTTCCAGGTCCCGAATGTTGGCCGCTGTCATTAACCATGAAGGGGATAACGTCACTCCCTCGCATGCATGGGAGTTCATTCAGATTCAGCATTGCCGAATTTGTACAGTGAGCTGAGCATGTGTGGCTCACCATACAGGGGCAGACAGGCAGGTAAGTATCTTTAATGCAGAAGAGACAAAGCGTGTCTCTTCTGCATTAAAAAAAATCCTGTCTGTCTGCCCATTTTTGCTATATACAGTTGTGTTCAAAATAATAGCAGTCAGACATCACTAACCTGATGGCAAATAATTTACTAGCAGGTGTAGTAGAGTAATAGAAATCCAACAGACCCAACAGTCATGACATGCATGCTGCTGATTCTGTGTAATTGAATCACTAATTGAAAGGAGCATGTTCAAAATAATAGCAGTGTGGAGTTCTATTAGTGAGGTCATTCATTCTTTGAAAAACAGGTGGCAATTATTGCCCTTATTTAAGGAAGGAAGGCAGCAAATGTTGTACATACTGGTTACAGTGCATTTCTCTCTGAAATTCTGAGGAAAATGGGTTGTTCCAGACATTGTTTAGAAGAACAGCGTACCTTCATTAAAAAGTTGATTGGAGAGGGGAAAACATATACAGAAGTGCAGAAAATGATAGGCTGCTCAGCTAAAATGATCGCAAATGCTTTAAAATGGCAACCAAAACCTGAAAGACGTGGAAGAAAGCGAAAAACTACCATTCGAATGGATAGAAAAATAGCCAAAATGGCAAGGACTCAGCCAACAGTCAGCTCCAGGAAGATTAAAGAAGGTCTAAAGTTACCTGTGAGTACTGTTACAATTAGAAGACGCCTATGTGAAGCCAAGCTATCTGCAAGAAGCCCCCGCAAGTCCCAGTGTTGAAAAAAAGACATGCTGAAGAGGTTACAATTTGCCAAAGAGCACATTGACTGGCCTAAAGAGAAATGGCGCAACATTTTGTGGACTGATGAAAGTAAGATTGTTCTCTTTGGGTCTAGTGGCCAGAGACAGTTTGTCAGACGACCCCCAAACACTGAATTCAATCCACAGTACACTGTGAAGACAGTGAAGCATGGTTGCGCAAGCAACATGATATGGGGATGTTTCACACCAGTAAACGTGCAACATCTTGGTTCCAGACCAACAAGATTGACGTTATGGAGTGGCCAGCCCAATCCCCGGATCTTAATCCAATAGAAAACTTGTTGGGTGACATCAAAAATGCAGTTTCTGAGGCAAAACCAAGAAATAGAGAAGAACTGTGGAATGTAGTCCAGTCATCCTGGGCTGGAATACCTGTTCAGAGGTGCCAGAAGTTGCTTGACTCCATGCAACACAGATGTACAGCAGTTCTCAGAAACAGTGCTTATACAACTAAATATTTAAGTGATTCAAAGGAAAGCAAAATCTTCAAACATTTTTCAGTTTTATATAGTGAATGTTTGAGTTTGTAAAGAAGAATACAAACACTGCTATTTTTTTGAACAGTCTAATATTCACTTTTCTTCAATTTTTTTAGAGGAACAACACAAATTTGATATATTTTTCTTCATGTTTTGATGTGGAATAGAATGTGTAGTGTTCCCAATGCATTTGTGTGTATGGAAATAAAAGCTATTAGAAGGATTTTGAGCTTTATTCACTTTTTTCAACACACTGCTATTATTTTGAACACAACTGTAGCGTAAAGTTCCACTTTAAGCTGACCGCCATCACAGAGAGAGCAGAGTCAGGAACTCAGATGATGATATCTCACCTCTGTAATTCACAAACTATATCCAAAGCTGTCAGATTCCATCCCTATCTGAAATATGTATTGAGTCGGCTGGCCCAGTAAAAACTCTCTAATTACCTTGTATTAGACTTTTTATATGAAAATCTGCACATCAAACCAATGATAATATTAGCTGTGGACCTGCCTTAATCAGCTAGTTCATACATGGTGTTTCTAGACTTTGAAAGCACACCCTCTTACTCCATAAAAGTAGACTAAAATGTTACTCTTTTAGGGATAATATCTTTAATCAGTTTTCTCCTTGCTTTTACACACACATATTTGTTATATATTACTTGTAATATACAACACCAATGCTCATTACCATTATCCTTGCTTTTACACACACATATTTCTTATATATTACTTCTAATATTCAACACCAATGCTCAGTACCATTTGCACTACACAACCCGAGCCATGAGGCAAGCTCTTCTACTTACGCAGATATTTTTATCTTCTCTCCAGCCTGATCTGGATGTGGACAGGAAAGATCTTCACAACATAGAGAGCTGTAAGTCTGTATTTTAGCACTAAGCTGGTAACAAAATGTAAAGGTTTGCACATACTGCATGTGTCTCATTCTATTTATACTTTTTGCATTGCCAGGTATAGAAACCCCCAATGTGCATTGGCTTGACAAAACAAGGGAATTAAGACGGTGTCTTTCTGATGTCTATAATAATTCTACCTTCAGTAGCATGTTACCATTTCCAGAATCCTCTCATATTTCAGTAGATCTGAGGTCACTCTTTGCTGATATCTCCATACTGTTGAAGGACACTAGAAATCGCCCACTGAGGCAGCTTACATTACCAGATGTTCTGTCAGAACTGGGGGAAGTCACTATGATAGAAGGTGAAGCTGGCAGTGGGAAGACAGCACTGCTCAAGAAGATTGCCATTCTTTGGGCCTCAGGAAAATGTCCTATACTCAACAGGTTCAGTCTTGTGTTCAAGGCAGCTTTAAAGACTCCGCTATTTACTTTTGCTCTTTGTGTTTTGTGGGTACAAAACTTTGCTGAAAACAAATCAGAGGACTTTTTCATTTGTACAACTTACTTGATGCACAAAATCCTAAAATATGGCATGGAAAAAGACAAAGTAGAAGCTGTGGTGTTATCATGTGGACAGCTTGCGCTGGAAGGTATCTTCCAATCACGCTTTGAATTCACTCAGGAGCATCTAGATAAAGCTGGTGTAGAAAGTGACGATGCTCTTCGTTTTGGCCTATTGAGTAGGTTCACGTCACAGAGACTTAAGCCCATCTTCAAATTCTTCCATCCCTTATTCCAGGAGTACTTAGCTGGTAGGAAAATGGATGAACTACTGCAGTCAGTAGAAGTTGCAGAAAATGACAGTGGCTTATCTTATCTGCAGAAAATTAATACTTTCTTAAGTGTCCAGAATCGCTATCATTCTTTCCTGAAGAATGTGGGCATCATGGACTCTATGTTTAGCACCATTAATCCAGAGCTTTCCCATTGTTTTGTAGTCAGGATGTTGCTTGAGTTTGCTATTGATGTAGCCAATAAGAGTAAATATTTGGATGACTGTGCTCCTATTATTTTGCATTTTATCAAGGACAAAGACATTGTACTGTGGGTAGAATCAGACCTTTGGCTGCTGAAATTCCTTCACAAATATCCTGAAGGACTGATGTTAATGAAGAGCCTGGAGATAAATTTACCTCATGCTACAAACAATGTAATCTCTACGTTTTGGAATTCAGAAGGATTTAAATCTATTTGGACTGTCCCAATAGTTGAGGAAGACTATTCCAATGCATTCCGGTATACCTCAGACATTCTGACTAAGCCTGAATTTAAATATATTAACAGTTTAAAAAAGGTTCCCGATCTGTCCAAGCTTGATTTTGACCCGAATAAACACAAAATTTCTGTGCTAAGAATTAAAGCTCTGGGTGGTGTCATGGAGGAGGAAAACATCCTAGGTAACCTTATGGTCTTCTGCAATCTAGCTAATCACATTGAATTAGACTTAACTAACTGCACAGAATTTCTGAATTTCATCTGGCCTGTTATTGACCTGTACAAGACTTCCATTATGAAATTAAGTCTAAAAGCTACAGCCTTTTCCAGAGAGGAAGAAGAACTATTTACACAACTGACTTCACTGGAAATCCTGCAAATAAATGGAATGCCACCACCAGGTAAGCAGTAAAGTATATACTTAGATCACGGATATAAAGTAAGCAATTCAACATTGATCAAATTAATGTCAAAATATTAATAATAATCATAATAATAACAACAGTAATAATAATGATATAAGATAGCTTGACTACATCTAACCAAAAACAAAGTAAGATTTGCTTTCTTCTTAAAGTCATAATGTGGTCTCAACCGATCACTAGCACTATTAAGGAAACTTAGTGTGAAACCTATAACCTTTAGTCCTCCAAACAGATAACCTTTTCAATAGCAAATCACAATCCTGACTAAGCTGTACTGCAATCACAGCGGTGGACAGAAACACATGGTTAGAACGATATATTCTGCATTGTGTGGTTTAGGTGTCTGAATTAGGAAACAGTGACACATTTTTTGCAGTAAAGTAATTATATACATTTTAACTGTATTTAGCTCTGTTGAATGACAGATAGAGATTTTGTAGCCTGTTGGAAGATTATGATTACAACCAAACTTTGAAGCCTTATTACATCAGAAACAAAGCTATCCCTGCAAAGCCAGAAGTGCCTTTGGGCACCTGGGTAAGGCTTGACAGTAGTCGTTCCCCTTACACAAAATGTTTTGTTTTCTGTTTTGTCACTTAGATGTAGCTCTTAGTTTGGTCACTGTAGCTCTTGGTTTTATCTTCTACAGAGCACATCCTTTCAAACATTCACAATTTCAAAGAGCTGAAGGAACTAGAGGTAGAATGCCAACTGGTAAATGGGACATCATTGGATTTTTGCCAGAGGAATTTAAAAGCCTTCAAAGAATTGAAAAGCTTGTATTTAAGAATGAGAACATGGAAACACAGTGTGAACAACTGGGTGTGTAAAATGCCATGATTATTATTTTTATGTGTTATTTCATATTGATAGTAAATGTATTCTTCTGTAAAAGAATAAAGCCAGCACAAAGTGCCAGTAAATGCGTGGAACATCCTTTCTCAACCGCACTTCTTTGGAACATTAGTTGCTGAAGGTTCCTTGAGCATTGAACAATTGAAGAGTCACCTCTCATCTGAAGGTCCCACGCTTCTCAATACCTCTCCTTATTATTTTTTTTTTTAGGTACCTATATAGCACTATCAATTTACATATATATATACAGTGGGGATCGAAAGTTTGGGCACCCTAGCAAAAATTTGTATTAATGTGCATAAAGAAGCCAAGGAAAGATGGAAAATCTCCAAAAGGCATCAAATTACAGATTAGACATTCTTATAATATGTCAACAAAAGTTAGATTTTATTTCCATCATTTACACTTTCAAAAATAACAGAAAACAAAAAAATGGCGTCTGCAAACGTTTGGGCACCCTGCAGAGTTAATATCTTGTACTGCCCCCTTTGGCAAGTATCACAGCTTGTAAATGCTTTTTGTAGCCATCCAAGAGTCTTTCAGTTCTTGTTTGAGGTATCTTTGCCCATTCTTCCTTACAAAAGTCTTCCAGTTCTTTGAGATTTCTGGGCTGTCTGTCACGCACTGCTCTTTTAAGGTCTATCCATAGATTTTCAATTATGTTGAGGTCAGGAGATTGTGAAGGCCATGGCAAAACCTTCAGTTTACGCCTCTTGATGTAATCCCCCGTGGATTTCGAGGTGTGTTTAGGATCATTATCCATTTGTAGAAGCCATCCTCTCTTTAACTTCAGCTTTTTCACAGATGGCATCAAGTTACCATCCAAAATTTGCTGAAATTTTATTGAATCCATTTTTCCTTCTACTCGTGAGATGTTCCCTGTGCCACTGGCTGCAACACAACCCCAAAGCATGATTGATCCAACCCCATGCTTAACAGTTGGACAGAGGTTCTTTTCATTAAATTCTGTGCCCCTTCTTCTCCAAACGTACCTTTGCTCATTCCGGCCAAAAAGTTCAATTTTAACCTCATCGGTCCACAGAACTTGTTTCCAAAATGCATCAGGCTTGTCTATATGTTCATTTGCAAAGTTCAAACGATGATTTTTGTGGTGAGGACGTAGAAAAGGTTTTCTTCTGATGACTCTTCCATGAAGACCATATTTGTACAAGTATCTCTTTATAGTGGAATAGTGTACCACAACTCCAGTGTCTGCCAGATCTTTCTGGAGGGATCGTGCAGTCAAACGTGAGTTTTGAATTGTTTTTCTCAAAATCCTGCGAGCTGTTCTGTCTGATATTTTTCTTGGTCTTCCAGATCTTGCTTTAACTTCCACTGTTCCTGATGACTGCCATTTCTTAATTACATTCCGAACAGAGGATATTGACATCTGAAAACGCTTTGCTATCTTCTTATAGCCTTCTCCAGCTTTGTGAGCGTCAACTATTTTCAGTTTCAGTTTTCTAGACAACTGCTTAGAAGAACCCATGGTGCTGATTGTTGGGGCAAGGTCAGATGAGTCTGGGCATTTAAAACCTTTGAGATTGACATCACCTGGTCTTCCCAGACGATGATTGAGAACAATCCATGACACTGGCAGGTCTCAGCTTTGCAAAGGGGGCAGTGCATGCTATAAATTCTGCAGGGTGCCCAAAGTTTTGCAGAAGCCATTTTTTTGTTTTCTGTTATTTTGAAAGTGTAAATGATGGAAATAAAATTAACTTTTGTTGACATATTATAAGAATGTCTAATCTGTAATTAGATGCCTTTTTGAGATTTTTCCATCTTTCCTTGGCTTCTTTATGCACATTAATACAAATTTTTAGCTGGGGTGCCCAAACTTTCGATCCCCACTGTGTATATATATATATATATATCGTGCATTCACATGCACTCACTCACAAACCCTCAAGGGGCGTACAATCCAAGGTCCCTAACTTACATTCATACATACACATGCTAGGGCCAATTTAGACAGGATCCAATTAACCTACCAGCATGCCTTTGGATTCTCATCTCTTCTGTCATATAAGTAGCTACTGACAGAAATAATCTTTTAGCATTATGTAAGGGTGGTATCCTCCTAACTGGCACCCCATTGTAAGAGACATTCTTTCCACTGACCAACAATATAAGGGACATTCTTCCTGCTCATCACCAATTTCCAATGTTATTCTTATTCTTCCCACTGACCGCCAATGTAAGTTGGAGCCCTTCTCCACTGACCACCAATGATAAGTACCATTTCTCAACTAATCTCTAATGTAGTAGTGCAAAAAGTAGTTATTTTTGATAATCCACAATAATTTTACTTAGAAATTTTCCTTTCATGCTGTGAGTGCTGCTTATCTGCCAGTCATCTTTTTCAGGCCCTGTTCACATTTGAGTGTTTTGTAGCTTGTAGCTCAAAGGTCAAATACACTCAACAAGCAAAAACCTATTGTTTTCAATAGGCCTTGTTCACATCTGAGCATTCTGTCGCTTGTGGCGAAATTGCTGTCGCTCAAAGTACATAAACTACTTTTTCAGGCAGAATTGAGCAAATTTGTCCCCATAAACTTCAATGGAAATGCCGAAAAAGCACGATATAATAGTTTTTCAAGTGTTTTATTGTTTGTTTTCTGCTGAAACAGCAGCTTTCCACCCCTTTTCATCAGGATGCCAAACACATTGTTGAAAAACGCCTGAAAAAAAAAGCCTGACAAAAGCTGCAAAAACGTGCAATTCATTTCCAAAAAACACTTCAAAACGTGACGCTTAGGTGTGAATGTAGTCTCAACATCTTGGTTTCCATGTATTCTTTACAGTTTCTCCTCTGCTCATTCCTTTGGTTCACTTTCGATTTCCTTAGGCTATATATCCCATGGTATCTTGTCTGCTAACAGTGATATCAGATTACCTGTACTGACTGTGTCTCCTAAAAAGCCTCCTTTTCAGAACTCAGATATACAATTGTAGTTCAAACAGCAGGCTCTGTGAAATGAGTGACACAGTAGTGAGATACAGTATAGTGAATATGTGTCACTGCATTCATGGAAGTAACTGTGTCAGAAGTTTTTCAAATTTCAAGACCATTCAATAATAGGAGTAGGCTAGAACTAAACTTTGAAGTTCAATGTGGAAATAAGTGGAGTCCATTTTCCCACATACATTTTACAAAAAGGTGTCCCTCATTTCCATCTCATTAAGAGATTCTATGTGTATTTGTTGGTGTGCTAATATGTATCATTTTAATCACAATGATAGTGTACCTTACTTTGCAGGAAAAATGATTGAACACTTTCCCAATCTGAACTCTTTCACGATACAATGTAATCATTGTTCTGAATTTGAGAAGGTTATCACTTCTTTATGTCAGAATACAAAAATGGAAACTCTCTGTATTAAGAAACCAATGCTAAACAGCGAACTAATCCATTTGGGTAAGTCAATGATTTACTGTCTAGTAATAATAATGTATCATTTTATTATGTACAAATGGGCTAATTTCATAAAACACTGCAAAGAGTAATAATGTTTTGCAGTGACGCAGAGCAGCAAATCACACTTCTCTTTGCTTAACCTCCCTAGCGGTCTGATTATGTCCATATTTCTGTGCTCAAAGCGGTACATTTTTTTGCATGGAAATATGTATTTTTTTTATTGTAGGCCTGTAATTTTTAGGAATAACTCACTGAAATCTGTCCGAACAAGAGTCTAGTAAACATCCCGAGTATGTTACAATTTGAAACACAAAATCATAAATTATAATTTAATAAATAATCATAAAAAATAATATAATAATAAATTTAATTCAATAATATAATCAAACCAAAAACACTGAAATTTGAAATATAGCGCCAAGTTCGCACATCACTGAGCAAAGTCGCAGAATCGTTTTCAGTGTCTGAAGATGAATTTCCCCACGAATCATTATCACTCAATTCTGCAAGTAGTTCTAATTTACTATGGCTGTTCTCTAGCTGGTCTAAAACCGTTTTTGACCTAAAGGGACGCTTTTTGGATGCCATGGACATTTCTCAGTTTCCAGGCAGAAAGAACAGTAAAAGTGCAGGCAGGGCACAGGACAAAGCACTAAGGACAAAATGTATGTGAAATGGTTTGATACAGGAATGTTTTACTATGTGATTTTAGTGTATTTAGTGAATGTCACTTTTTGTCATTTTCAAATTTCCCACCAGTTCCGTCCCCCGTATGTCCCGACGCTCGCAGGGGACAAAACCCAGATGACAGATGCCGGCATCCGCCGGATTACATTGCCGGGGACACTGCAGGAGGGACATCGCGGGAGCGCAGGGCAAGGTAAGTGAAGAAAAGATGCCGGATCAGCGCTGCATGGTAAGCCTGGGTGTAGCTCGGGGTTACCGCTTTTGGTACTGAAACTTTACCCCAAGCTACACTCGGGAATACCGCCAGGGAGGTTAAATCATCACTGTATCCCTGGATCCAAGCCACTGACTCTACCGCCCTTGCGGCACTCTCCTATGGAGGTCTCGTCTGGACCCATTCACCCAGACCAAGCGGTCATAGAGGTGGTGGGGTCGGCATGCTCTTGTCACTGCTGAGCACCTTCCAGGTCCTCTCAAACCCCCCCCCTCTGTATCCTTCTCCTCCTTTGAGGCCCACTGCATCCGGCTATTCTCTCCCACCCATCTGAGGATTGCAGTAATCTATTGGCCTCCTGGACCCGTATCCCGATTCCTTGACGATTTCTCCGCCTGGCTATCCTTCTTCCTCTCCTCTGAGCTACCCCCCATCATCCTTGGAGACTTCAATATCCCTATCAACATCAATAACCTGGCTACATCCCGACTCCTCCACCTAACCTCTTCTTTTGCACTCACACAGTGTACACAGTCCTCCACCCACTCCGACGGGAACACCCTGGACCTTGTTTTCTCTCATCTCTGCACCCCCCACAACCTCACAAAACACCCCCTTCCCTCTCTCTGACAACAGCCTCATTACGTTCTCCGTCTCCCTGTTCTCAAACACCTCCCCCCCCAAACATCAAACCATCACCAGCCATAACCTCCGCAACCTGAACCCTGCCCCTCTCCACTCTCTAGCTGACCGACTTTACGACAGTATCCTTCCACTGTCCTGCCCTGACTTGGCCACTACTGCTTATAACAACTCGCTGTCAGCCGCCCTAGACTCCTTAGCACCCCTAACCACATGTAGCATTAGACTCCGACCACTTCAACCCTGGCAGAACGACCACACCAAAAATCTTAAATGACGCAGTCATGCGTTGGAGCAACTATGGCACAAAACCAGATCCCCTTAAGCGTTCACCCTTTACAAATCCGCCTTCCTCACCTGCACCTCCTCCCTCCACGCTGCCAAACAAGCCTACTTCATAACCCTCATCAATACCCTCTCCTCCAGTCCTCGCCGGCTCTTCTCCACCTTTAACTCCCTACTCTCCCCCCCCCACCTCCACCCAGTACCTCACTCACCGCCCACGAGATTGCTGACCACTTCCAAAACAAGATCGATGCAATTCGTAAGGACATCGCCAATGCTCAATCTTCCACCTCACCTAGCCTCCCTCCCACGATAACCCCCTCAACACTCCCTTCCTCTGACATCGCAACTGCCCTGACCCCCACCACGCCTAACATCCCGCACACTAAAACCCCCCCCAACACTCTACTCCTTCGGCTTGATACCACTGAAGAGGTCACTAAGGTCTTCTCAGAAGCCCACCTCATCACCTGCCCCCTTGACCCTGTCCCCACACAACTCCTCCGGTCACCCTCGTCCTCCATCCTACGCTCCCTCACCCACATCTTCAATATCTCCCTCTCTACTGGCGTATTCCCCTCCCCCCTAAAGCACGCGCATATCACTCCCATACTCAAAAAACCCTCCCTGGGCCCCACCGACCTAAACAACCTTAGACCCATCTCCCTGCTGCCATTTACATCCAAATTCCTCGAGCGATTAGTCTATAATCGTCTAAGCTCCCACCTCAATGACAACAACCTCCTTGATCCCCTACAGTCTGCCTTACGTCCACTACGCTCTACCGAAACCGCCCTACTCAAAATCACCAACGACCTGCTAACCGCCAAAGCTAATGGCCACTACTCAGTCCTCCTACTCCTTGACCTCTCCGTGGCCTTTGACACAGTTGACCACCCCCTTCTCCTTAAAAACTATACTCCCTTGGCATCAGAGACTCTGCTCTCTCCTGGCTCTCCTCCTATCTATCCCAGCACTCCTTCAGTGTTACCTATAACGCTGCCACCTCCCCCTCTCTCCCCCTCTCTGTTGGGGTCCCCCAAGGCTCTGTCCTTGGGCCCCTTCTCTTCTCCATCTACACATCCTCCCTTGGTCAACTGATACACTCCCATGGCTTCAACTACCACCCCATGGCGATGACACGCAAATCTACCTCTCTACCCCTCGCCTCACCCCTTCAGTCTCCGTCCGAATCACCTGCCTACTGAACTACATATCGGACTGGATGTCACTTCACTTCCTCAAATTAAACCTTTCCAAAACCAAGCAACTAGTTTTCCCCCCAGCCCGTGCCCCCCCCCATCCTCTCCATCACGACCAATAACGCCACCATCAGTTCCACCCCGCAAGCCAAAGTCCTAGGTGTCACTCTAGACTCCAATCTGTCCTTCCAACCCCAAGTCCAATCGCTGGCAAATTCATGCAGGCTCCACCTCCGCAACATCTCCAAAATACGTTCGTTCCTATCCCCAGACACTACTAAACAACTCATTCACTCCCTTATTATCTCACGACTCGACTACTGCAACTCCCTCCTCACCGGCTTACCTCATCACAGACTATCCCCGCTTCAGTCTATCCTGAACTCAGCGGCCAGACTCATCCACCTTACCAACAGCTCCGTATCTGCCACGCCCCTCTGTCATTCCCTCCACTGGCTTCCGATTGCCCAACGCATAAAATTCAAACTACTAACATTGACGTACAAATACTGCCCCAAACTACCTCACCGACCTGATATCCAAATACCACCCAACACGTACTCTTCGCTCCTCACCTCCTACTCTCTAGCTCCCTAGTCTCCTTCTCCCCCCATGCCTCACTCCAGGACTTCTCCAGTACTAACCCCATCCTCTGGAACTCACTACCCCAATCCATCAGACTGTCACCTACCCTCCTCACCTTTAGGCGCACCGGGAAAACCCATCTCTTCAGGAAAGTCTACCCCACCCACACCTAACAGCAGATCTCCTCCACTCCTCCTACCACTCCATCCCCCACAGCCACTTCCTCCTGTAGCACTACCCCCCTCCCTCCTAGATTGTAAGCTCCAAAGAGCAGGGCCCTCAAACCCCTCGTGTATCGTATTGTTACTGTATTGTCTCATGTACTGTCCCCCACGACAATGTACAGCGCTGAGCAAACCTTTTGGTGCTATATAAATACTGTATAATAATAATAATAATAATATCCACTGAGGATAGGTACTGGGATGCTATAATGCTTTTCCCAATGTCCCATATCATTGTCACTCTTTAAAGTTTAAGTTTGTATATGCTGTTTATATACAGTGTCTATCTATCTATCTATCTATCTATCTATCTATCATCTGTGTATTATGCAGTATGCAGTATATGTATATTCATATATTGGAATTAAAGAGTGTGTAAACCCAACATTTCATATTCCTTTATCTGCTGTGAAAAGTATCCTGTTCTCTTTGTATTACTTCCTTTGTGTGAAATCCCTATTGTTTCTGCCAGTCCCTCTGCTTTCCTAATAAAAACTGACTACACTTGGCATTAGAGCACAGGGTGATCAGTTCTCTAACTGTACTGGAAACTCAGGGTCCTCTCCTCCAGTGTGTAAACTTGTCCTGAAAGACTCCAACCCCTGCACAACCATTTACTGTGAATTTCAGTGTACTGCTGTTTCTCCTCCCGAGCTCTCTGTTCTCAGCTGCATAAGGAGTTTAGAGGGAATATGATCACTTATAAGGCCCCTTTCACACAAGTGGACCGATGGGGTCCACCTGTCCGTTTTGTAGGCGCACCCGATTGGTCCATCCATAGACTTCATAGGATCGGCGGGTGTCAGTGGACAATAGTCCACTGACACCCACCGGCATCCTATCCTGTATGCCAAAAACAGACGGATTGTGGATCCATTCCCCAACTGTCCAGCGGATCAGATCGGATGAAAATTGGGTGGAAGCAGATAGACGGTCCCATTGAAATCAGTGGGCAGCAGTGTCTGTGGCCGCTCTGCAGCAGCTGAGCGGACAGAGACCTTTCATGTGCCTGCTCAGCAGGGATCAACGATTAGATCCCCTGCTGAGCAGGTGGATCAAGCTGACAGATCCACCCTGTCTGAAAGGGGCCTAAAACAGGGGGAAGAAGGAATTTAAGTGAACTGTCCCTTGGCATCCTTACATCCAGTGCAGGGCTATGGTCCCTGCATTGGTTATGATGATAACAGAAGATCTTAGACCATTGGAACATAGGGGAAAAGAGGCTGCAGGGATCAGTCTAGCAGTGCAGAGGAGTTTGCAGGAGTGGAAGATCAGGTAAGTAAAAGTGCTTTCCCCCATACCATTAGACGGTAAGAGAGGGCTTTTACTTTTCCTGGAGTTCAGCTTTATGAAACTCCACAATACGTTAGCCAAGTGTACATTATTCTCATACCTTTAGCTAATTACTATGAATATGGAAATATGACACCGAGTACCATATTTTGTGTTTATTGTATTTTCAGCTTCTGTACTATCTTCTCTTAAAAATCTGAAAATTCTGGAAGTTGACGATCAGTATTCAGTGAAAGCTAAAGCATCAGAATTATTTGGTATTACAATTATGCATACAATTCATTTATACTTAATAGATTTGTCATTACTTTTTAAAAATTTTTAATAAACATTGTCTAAGTATGAGTCTTTATGCTTCTTTCCCCTTTCTATAGTGCTCTTGTATGAGAATGATCACATTATTTTGCATTACACAGTTATTACAACTAGAGCATCATTGGAGCTGTTTTCTACAGATGTCACTAATGAGCGATTAAAGATTGTTATCCTATTTAAACACATGTATACAATTGTGTACATTCACTATACTGTTCCTTTTGTGTAGTTGATAATACAAATTTTCAATTCAAAAAACAAATATTGTAAATTTGCAGAATTTCTGTTCTAACCTTTTTAGTAAACTTTAGATTGCTTCCTGTGCCCTAAGAGTTAATGGTACCCTGTAGACTTTTGTGCTTTGCGAAAAGTAGTAATAAAACTGAGACTCAGGGCTGGTACAAGGATTTTTGTCTTCACATCCGAAGGTGAATTTTACCGCCCCACCTCCCCACTGTCCTCTTGCTGTCCTCCCTCCACCCCTCTTCCCTCTACAATGGAACTGTGTAATATTGGGGGGTTTATGCATTTTCCACTTCCTCTCATTGGCTACAG